TTGGTTTCTTCCTCAGGCTGTGGTATTAGCCAGGTGGATACCTGAGAATGTGGCTATTTCTGTTACCAAATACAGTGTCTTGACAAAGGCCTATAAATTCTTTGTTGTCTTGTTCATCTTTCTTCTGCTGCTCATTAATTGTAGTAAAGGCAGAGATAAATAGGCCAACTTCAGGATCTTGCAGTTAGGTCAATATCCTAGAAGACATCTTGTTCTCCTGAAGCTTTTGTACTGATTACTGTATATTTTATCTTCTTTCACTTTTCTCTTTTCCTTACTTTCAAAGTTTTTGACTCAGAATATTCTTACAGTTCTGATACAATCTTCTGTTCTGTCCATCATATTCTTCACCTATCTATCTCTTCCTGCTCATTCAAAGGTTTCTGTTCAGAGCTGCAGATGAGTCTATTTTCCTCTATACAGCTTTTGCTTATTGGTATCTTTCGGACAAGGTTTCAGAACTTCCTGCTATTTAGAATGGGGTTTTTTATCATCACATACTTTCTTTTATTTGTTGGTGCTTCTCTATGCATCTGTTGTAGCCTATATATTCTCTAATAATTTCTTATCCTTATTCCATCCTGCATCTTCAGTGTTATTTTTACTATCTCTCATGCTCCCGAGCTGGTCTTTTCTGTTTATGAATTAGGGATATCAATGTACGCTTCATAAAATGTAATCTCCCTCTAGGTTTACTTGTAAGCCACAGGTTGGGCATCTCACAGTTAGACTGTCACCTCTACCTTTGGTTATCTTTTTGTCTTTCTCTTCAAACAGCATTTAGAGCTACTATTGTTTGGTTTTCTCCCTAGGCTTTTTGTACACTCCCTCATTAGTGCTGTTCCACCAGTTCCCAGTGCTTAGTCGTTGTTTCCCAGTTATTGTTTTCCAAGACGTTTCTGACATTGACTTATTTGAATACGCAGCCCTTTCCACTTCTCTGTTATTCTTCTACATTAAATAGCTTATTTCAGGGGAGAACACGTGTCATTATTTCCTGTCTTTTCCACTAGAAAGAGCAGAAAATTTCTACTAATTTGGCTTGTTATTTGTATGGGTAATTTACTGTGGGGAGTACTTGCTCTAGTTAAATATCACATAACTCAGTTGCGAGTAAGGAAAAGGAAATATAAGTTTCAAATTCAGCTCTACAACGGATATTCTGTAGGTTCTTTTTCCTAGTTAATTGCCTTCAGTGATTCTTGTCTAATACGTCTACATCATAAATGCATTGTGAGGTCAAAGTCATTAAGACTTGCATGGTGTTTGAAGATGCTTGCAAGGAACACATTACAAAGGGCCAAATATATTAATTACTGTTATAGTACTAGACCCTAGGGAGATTCAAACAATTTAATTAAAATTATGTTAAAATATGCCTTCCAAGAACTAGAATAATCTGACAAATGACTGTTTATTTCTGGGCCTAGCTCACCACCATATAATTCTAGTTTATTGTACAATAAAATTTGCAAGTATACGAGGAGAAAATTGCAGAATTCATAGGTCTTATTAATAACATAGCCGGTGCCGTATTCTCCAGAATATTATCACTGTTTCCTTTATGCACTCCTATGGAGTTCAGATTAGGCTTTAGATCCTGAAGGTCTAAGACTCTTAACAGCTTCATCAGAAGCAATCTGTGCCTATGTAAAAGACACAGCAAGGCCCAGACCAAGCAGTGCTGACTAAGTCACATCCACGCTGTAGTTTTTAAGCCCTGACATGACTGATCATCTTCAGTGCCTTTGGATTTCTGGTCCAGGTTTCAGACCAGAGCACACAATATATTTGTAGTATTAAGAATCTGTGGTCTTCAGTGACTTCAGTGAACTGAAGCAAAGCAAAACAAGCTGATGGTTTGACAGTTGATGTGCACAATATAACTGATACACTGATATACTCCTCCTGTGCACTTCTTGGAATAGTTTCTGCCAGGTTTTTCATAGGAATCACTGATCCCTCAGTGGAAGCCTAGAGAGCATGTCTCTCTTCCTCTTACGAGCAAGGGCCAGGATCAAAGTGGTGACTTCTGTATCCGTATGGCAGGCAGAAGTAGCAATGCCTTTCCACTTTTCCTGCCAGATACCTCATCAGTGGCTGGTCAGCAAAAGCCAAAGAGGTGAGGCAACATTAAAAAAACACAGTTCATCCTTACTGCTTTTGGGTAATGGGGTGTATATTACCCTGAGCACAACCCGTTGAGTAAATTGCACTGTGTGATAGTGAAGAAATTAAGGAGCCTAAGACTCTTCCCATGGACTTTAAAATGAACAGGATCAAATCTACAGTTTCCAAAATCACCCGATTTTATTGGGTGTATATGCAGCCATGCTTATTGCAGCTAGAGAGAAGGATAGCTGTTATGATTTGTTCTGTTTCATGTGTATGTGTATTAAAATAGCATTAATTAATATATTTTATGTGCATTATGACACTCATAACTGAGAAAGCAGTAACTATTATACACATATTACTGCTGTGGTGGTTTCAGTGGGCTAGCACTGGGCTAGCAGCCAACACAGCCATTCCCTCAGGGGACAGGGGAGAGAACTTGGGGCAAGGGTAAGGAAACTCATAGGTTGAGGTAAGAATAATTTAATAAATGAAATAAAAGAAAACTTAAAATAATACTGATATTAAAATAGTAAGTTGCAGTTCCAATAACAAAAATGAAAACATTGGTATGTTATCAGCGTTTCTGTCATAACAAATCCCATGCTGAAAGTAAAACACAGTACTATTCTAGCTAATAAAAAGCTCTGTCCCAGCTAAAAACCAGGAAAATTGCAAATGGAATTTTTTATTATTATTTTAAAGCTATTAAACACATTCCTCAATTTTCTTCCAAATTATCCTGCAAAGGCAATTCTGCACATTTTTTAAACTAAAATGAAATAAAAATCTCATACAATTGACCTATTAATAAAAACTGCTATGTTTGAACATATGAAAGAAATGTGAAAATTATAAACAAGAAATAATTCAGGTATAGGTAACAGAGACAAAATATCACCTTTCATTGGTCTGCAATGTAGACTTTGTTGATTAACATACTGTGATAGATGCCTTGATGATGAATGTTCTCTGTTTTTACAGATATAAAATGCAGGATTTGTAAACTTTACTTGGATAATGCCACGTTGATTGGTATACTTGGTGGTTTGATTTTTTTTCTATTGCATAAGTGTTTGCAGCATTTATGTTACTGAACATTCTTTGTTCTTCTCTTTCTTTTACACAACACCTCTTTGCTATTTCAGAGCAAATATTCTTTCGGAGCACGTATACATTCTAGCACTGCAGTTTGCTGTATACTAGGATGGTCCACGAAGTGCATTTCAGAATCAAGGCAACACTCCTCAGAACTTAAATATATTCAACAAAAAGACCACTGTATGCTTTAACAGAATATTTATATAGACATAAATCTACAAATGGAGTTCAATGTTGCTGGAGATACAAGACATTTGTGAATTGGAAACAGGTCAACTTTTTAGGAAAGTTCTATCACACCTACATTCCTATATTTTAAAGGTGTTCAGATTTTCAGTTTTAGTTCTAGTTTAGATGATCACTAGTGCAATCAGTACAGCTGAAAGTATTCATAATCTTTCTCTTATTTTTTCATTATACTTTTGTAGCAATTTTTGATCTTTTTAAGACTTTATTTTGTGTTTGAGGATTTTTCTGTTAAATCAGTGATCCACTCCATTTTGATATCAGTAATTTTCTTATGAATTCTTCGAGAGGCAAGTATGTTTACAGACTCACTGAAACAAACGTTTCTGTTCTAAAACAGTTGAAAACTGAACATTTCTGAGAACGCACCTCTGATTCAACAGTTAGGCAGGTGCTCATTCCATTGATACTGGTGAGATTGTTCACATGGTTGAACAACTGACTTGTCAAAATATTTGTTGTCATCTTGTGAAATCCCAAAAAACTGAGGAACCTTAGTATTTCCCTGTATTTGCCTTTCTAAGTATGTTAGAATAAATATACAATGTGGTCAAATTACGAGATGGAACAAATAGTTGTGTCAAGGGGCTTGGATTTACAGCTGCTTTATTTGACAATGTTTGGCAGTATTTGGTAGAGGGAAAGAACTGGGAGAAAAGGATAAACAAGTTTATCAGAAGTCTTCTGATCCTTAGAATAGCCTGAGGCTAACCACTTATGTGCACAGGATGATTTATTTTCTATTCCTTGCCTTTTTCACTTCTTTCCTATATACTTAAAATTATATCTGAATTTTATGGAGGTACAATAGGGGAGAACCTTGCTGATACTTTATTTCTCTGGTGGAAGATTTGAACAAGATGTAGAAACTATTTTGATTCAGCAAGAAATGCCAGAGGCAATGGTAAGAAGCTCATGTTTTGAAGGACTAGTATATTCCACTAAAATTTAGAGATGGTCTTTAAGATTCAAAAAGTTTCTGTAGTCTAAATAACCAGCAGATTTCAAAGTCCATATAGCAATATTTATTCTGTTAGTATCTATCTATATTAACACTTAGAAGGTAAGGAAAACTGATGACTAGTTTTTCCCAAGTTCCAGTGATCTATTTAATCATCTTTTTCTGTCATGTTCCTGCATGTTGACATCATTGGCCCAAAAAACCCCCTAATCCGTTCTAGGTAATGGAAAGCAGATATTTATTGTCATAAATACAAATAAGTCTTCTGAAAAGAGGAAGTGACTACATAATTATGAAAATATTGTAGCTGGGTAAGGATAAGAATTCAGCTCAACCATAGCTATTGTTTACCTTTGCTAATTAGATCATAGTCATAGGGAAGTTTAGATTCAATTTACATAGAATGAGATCCTGAAATAGGGAAACATGTACCTGAAGTTCACTAGAAGATCATAAATATATTTGAAAAGTCAAATCAACACTAGCTGAAATCTTTCGAGGCCAGCTGAATGGAAATTGATGTTCTTGAACCTTTACCTAGTACCATGTGAAACTAAGCTGACTTTGGATGTTTCAGGTACTTCTGTGGTGCAAGTTACAGCTACTGATGCCGATGACCCTTCATATGGAAACAGTGCCAGAGTAATTTACAGCATACTTCAGGGACAGCCATACTTCTCTGTGGAACCAGAAACAGGTCAGGAAAATTGTCATTACTTCCATTTATCATAAACCATAGACTTTCTCTTTCATTTTAAAAATTTTAGACAACCTAAAAAATAATTTTAAAATCTACCAGAAATTAAACAATATTTATTGTTTTTCTCCTCATAATTAATAATTCTTATTAAAAAGATAAAAACTTAGACTTATTACAGCTGACACTATGAAGTGTAAGTAACTTTACAGTGGTACTATTGGTAGCTTAAGGATCTGAGTGACAACATTTCTGAAAAAGGCAAGAATAAAGGTTTGTGCCCTAGAACAAATTGTTCTTTTTTTTTGTTAATAACTCTACTTGGACTAATAAAAGGTGTTCTTTCTACTCATAAACCTTGTGCATAGATATCCTGAATAATTTTTAGCATGAAATCTAAACTGGAAAGGGAGTTGTGATGTAGAACTAAGGTTTGTTCAACATATAATGAATACATGAGAAATATATTTCACAGATTAATACAAAAAGATGCAGCAGATTGCCGCACATCAAAAATTAAAGAATTATTAACAAGTTTTGTTTTTCCTTTATTTATTTAAGGCATCATCAGAACTGCTTTGCCAAACATGAACAGAGAGAACAGGGAGCAGTACCAAGTAGTTATCCAGGCAAAGGACATGGGAGGCCAGATGGGTGGATTATCAGGGACCACCACCGTGAACATCACTTTGACTGATGTCAATGACAATCCACCTCGATTCGCCCAGAGTAAGCTGCATTTAATAGTTGCCTTGCACTGTAAGAGCTTCAAACTAAAGAGTTAAGCAATCACCATCTGGTTTAATTTAGAGTAAATCTAGATTATGGGGCACACATGAACAAAAGGCTTATGTACTGATTTATTCACTATTATTAAAGCAGTATATTAAATGTTACAGCATTTGTTTGTTAGGAAAACAGTTACATGGTCAAATATAACTGCAGCAAACCTAGAATACTTTCCAGTAAAATGGGGGGGGCGGGGGGGTGGTAGGTGGACTCATAAGAGCATTAAAGCAATGTTTTTCTTTTCCCTTACCTATTGCTTAAATCCTATATACTCCCCCAACTGGAAAATAAAACATGTAATTCTAGATATACAGAAATGTTTGACTTTTAGTAGTATCTGCTTAAATATTTAATCATGAAGAACGTGGAAAAGAAATTGCTTGAAGGGAATCAAGCAGATTTGTACTTTTCCAGTTACAGTGCTACAAAACCTAATAGAAAATTTCCCAAAGTAAATGGCATTTAACTTTTTTTTTTTTCAGTTTAAGTTTACCAAAGCCTTTTAAAATACTTTTAAACTTCTGATAGTACAGTTATCAAGACTTTGTATCCTCAAACTAAAATATGAAAACATTTTTGGTCTCTATGTAATATGGAAGTATTAAACTATATAACATAAAACTTGTTAAAGGTTAAGCATTTTGAATACCATTGAAGCCTTTTGTGTATACTGAAGTTGTAAAATTTGCAAGATGGCTTGAACATACGTAATAGCTAAAGGATTTAGACTGTCCTCACCACCCATTTTTTCTTCTGTATAACTCTACTGAATCCAGTAGTGACTGATGATCACCCTTCAGCCTCAAAATAACAGAATCAGCTTCAGATTATTCTGATTTTAACATGCTCTTTATGCCACAAATGGTGTGCATAATTTTATTCAATTTAATATTGTAGTTATTATATAAGTGTTTAGCTAAGATGTTTAACAGCATGTGATTTCATATACACACTCTAAATAGAAAAATTATGAACAATTGAGTACTTGAGTTTGTGCATTTCCACACAGGCCCTATTATGGACAGAATTTAGTGTCTATTTGTCACTTTATGTTCTTTGTATTTCCACAAATTTTTGAATAGATTGTTTGTTTGTTTGTTTCCATTTGTATATAGAGGATTACGGTTATTCCAGTGCTGCGTAGGTGAGGAATGCTGTATTAATCCTCTCTGGAACTATTGAGGAAGAGTATTCAAAGAAGTGTTCTAAGATTTATGTAAAAGATTTATGTTAATTTCAACAGTTAAATTTAAGACAGCATTAAGCATCAAAAATGCATATTTATGCTCTTTCTTTTTTTTTTCCTTATTTCTTAAACAGTGTGT